CCACCACCTGTCATGTTCCATATGTGTTCCTCTAAACTGCTTTTAAATTGGAGTTTATTTAAAGGAATAAATCGACATTTCAGGAAATATGATTCTCTTTCTTGTTAAGAGTTAAATGAGAAGAACGATACCGCTCTCAAATCTGTCAGCTAAAGAGAAAGCTAAAGATAGCAGCCAGTTAGCTTGGCTCAGTGACTGGAAATAACAGGGTGAAACAGAAACCTGGCTTTGGGGAATTGTTTTACCTTTGGATAGAGACAGACTATGTTTTCCCTTTTTCCAGTCTTTATGCTAAGCTAATTGTGGTATTAATCTTCTTATCTAACCCCCTTTCCTAAAATATCAAACTATTCCTTAAAAATATTATATATAGTATGTGACATGATCTCAGAATTGCCTGTGTTTAGGCTTAGAACCTATTTTTTATTTTTTAAAACTTTTGTAGCAGTTTTGGCCAAGTTTGCATTCATGCTACTACCATTAAGAGTGGAGATTTTTACTATTAATTCATTAGAATGGGTGGGATGTGTGTAAGCCTGATGTAGCTGGTAGTTTTTTAGGATTTGTTACCGTAAATATACTCAAGAACAGCCTGACAGTGTGTAAATCTGCTTGTGTGTATTTGGTAACTGCAGAAATACGTCTAACATACCCCTGGTTGGGAGTTTCCTTCCTAAACGTCTTTCAATAGAATGTAATACAATTTACAAGTGCTAAAGTAAAGTAAACATTTAATAGATATTTTAATATTTAAAGTTAATATGTATGATGCTGTTTAAGGTTTGTTTTCATTGGTAACATTTGCAAACAGAGCAATAAATTAGGTCTGTATTCTCGCACAAAGGCACAAAATGCTTATTTTACGCAAATATTAGTGAATTTTCAGAAGACAGCGGAAAACCAATTATTTTCACAGATTCAATTATCACACACATGTACAAACAACACCCGCAGCCTATGCAGAAATATCAAGATAGAATACATGGAGACAGAAAGGAGAGAAAAAAATTGGAATTTGTCCAATTTTGGAGATAGGACTTTTTTTTTTTTTCAGGTTTTGATTCAGCCTTGGGTAGTATGCTTTTGCTGTATGCGGTGTGTCATTACATCCCCCAGCAGCATTTGTGAGACGATGATAGAGTTTTTCCATCTGAGGAGAATCTGTCGTCGAGCCAGTGATGTGGAAAAAGCCTCAACTACTGTTTGGTTAGCTCACCCAAATATAGCCATCAAAGGGTTAGGATCAATAACTGTGCCACATACATGTGAAAGGGTATTAAAAAACCCCTGCCCAAAAATCTTCCAGCTGCAGTCAGGTCCAAAACACAAGACTGTGGCTAAAATGCTTATTTTGATGTAGAAGCTAAGCTCTTACATTATGTGACCATATGTACAAGAAATTAATATGGTCAGAAACTTTCTCAATGCATGAAGGAGGTATTTGGTCTCTCATGTTTCCGGTGTCATGTCACAATCATGTGTTCAAGAAGTGAAACCCCTGTTTAAGCTGTCCAGGTCTTGATGCAGCACAGGGTGAGGGCAGAAGCCACTGATCTGTACGTCAACACACACTCACACACACGGAAACACAGTCGCACAAACCGACTGCCAGGTTCTCTCTCCGTGATTCAATAACCGTGTTGCTCTGCTGACTGCTTGTGAGCTCTGCTTTCTGTGGAGCAGTAAATCCTCTGTACTCGAGCCATTCCTGCAGTCTGCAGTCTCCTCCTATCAGCTGTGGTAGCATACTGCCCTCTTGTGGTAGATTTAAATACTTTCATCTAAGATCTACTGAGGATAAGTCAAAGTAAAAAGCTGGATTCACTTTTTGGGTGAACATTCAGCAGCCTCGTGTTCATCCTAAAGTTTGAAATATAAAATATATGATGATTATTTGGTCCTATAGACTTTTACCTTCTTCAGTATTTTGAATGTGTGTGTAGTTGCTGGTTGGGTGTCACATTTGATGAAAAGTGGAGATGAATTATTGGATATGAATTATTGTTAGACAGTTTGTGGCTTTTATAGTTTAAGTCTTTGACAACTATTTCAATTCAGACGTTTTGCTGTGCAGCGTATCGTAATTACAGGACAATACACTTGTGACAGGTCTAAGCATGAGTATGGCCTCATCATAGTCACTAAATGGTATGCAGTTGTGTCTGTATTGAAAGCGGCAGGATGAATAAATAGCTGTCATGTATGTGTTTGTGTCTTGTCTTGTAGAGGCTAATGATAGTGAGGGTGGGTAAGAGCAGAGCTGCTCCCCACCAGATGGTGGGTAATGTGGTTTGCTTTAGCTGCCCACCACGCTCACTCTAATTAAACAGAGGAGATTACATTAACACCGGCTCCCACTCAATCTGCTCCTCCGCTGAGCGTGGCCTTGGACTGAACGCAGGGCTGATATTGGAGGTGGAGGGGTTACAGAGGTGATTGTCATTTTATGCAGAGTCAAAATTACATATTTGCTTCAGAGCTAAATTAATTTCTTATTAAACACTTGAAAGTTGGAGAATGTTAGAAAGAAATGCTTGAGACCATATGGTTGGATCAATTAGAAAAATGTTAAAACTATTCCCACACTTTTTACAACTACTGTTTACTCTCTATGCCCTTGAGCAAGGCACTCAACCTCCATCTGCTGCTGCAACATGACATTATGCATTATGACAGACCCAAAGAATCTTGCAAATGCAAAGTCACAAGGCAATTCATTGATTGTGCAGTGAACAATAAAGTAAATTATAAACAGGAATGTAATTGGACAATAAAATGAGATTATGTCATTAAGAATTTACAAATGAATAAATCAATCTGTTGCTAAACAACTAAGTAGATAATGGATGGTGTAAATTAATTTGACAATGAGTTTTCCCACAGGGAAATTAATACTTGATTTTACAGATAAACAATAGCTGCTTTTAAAAGGAAATTAAACAGGGGTTTCTCATCTGAAATTGCAGTTTAATATGCTAATTTATTTGTTTTCTTTCCAATTTGCTGACTCTTTTAGCATTGATGAAACTCTCTCTTTGAACCCTTTAGGTGTTAAAACTTTGCTCATACGTTGTTATATCTAAGAAGATCTCTCACTGGCTATCACCTGTGTGTTTTTGCACTGCCAACAAGTTCACAAGTTTGAATTTGTTACCCTCCATCTCCCACCACTTAAAGCTAAGTCAGTGGTTCCCAACCTTTGTGGTTTGTGAACTTGTGAGCTCTACAAGCAAAGAATGTTTTTTTTTTTGTTTGCCTTTGTGCTGTTTTTCTTTCTTGTTTATCATCTTGCAACCCCTCAGATGACCCTCGGGGGTTCCTGAACCTAGAGGTTGAGAACCACTGACTTATGTTCATTTGCTGTGTATACAGGTGTTCAAGACTGGTGTGGTGACCCGGTCAGTTTACAGAATCTCCTTTTTGGGCATCAGCAGTGATTAAATGTTTTTCTCTTAATGACATTTACACATATACTCACAATGTTTACACTGTTGTTCAGTGGACAGACATGAATGGAGTTGCATACTGTAGCTAAAATGAAGCTTAAATTATCTCTGTGGTGAAACGAGTGAGCTGAAAAAACTCAAAGCACTAGAAAACAAGAAAGCGTGATCATTGTAGAGAGAAACTGTAAACACTGCAGGCTGGAATTTAGCTGAAGGGTTTGAAGTCATATAGCTAGAAAATAGATTACACAATAAAACATTCACAGTGTTCTCAGAGGGTACTCAGACTTTATGGGAAAACGACTAGGTTAGAAAAGGAAACCAAAAGAACACATTGCACTAGCACAATAACCTGCTGAATCCCAAAGGAATTAGGCTAACAAAAACCCAATATCAAAAAATGTACAGTAATTAAGAAGTCTTACTTCCACTGTGCTGTGCAGGGAGCAGAGGCAGAGCTAGGATACTGATTCTTAGCTCCTTTTAACATCTGGGCTGAAATACAGGCCAGCTGTGGCTCTGGCAGACTGCCATCAGGTCGCCACAGATCCTGGAATGACTCCAGCTGGGTGCAAGTAGCCCAGATGACACACAAACTCTATAAACAGCTTGAGAATGTGAAGCTTTGTGGCAAAAGCCAATAAACTGTTAAGAGGGATCAGCAGCATTGTCTTTGTCCAGATGATGGGCAGAGCAATAGCAGGGCTGTAAAAATGAAATGTTCAGGTTCAATTAGGACTTTCAGGGGCTGTGGAGAGAGAGGAGTCAGACCATACAGCTCTGATTCCCTAAGGGATACATGTACCCTGGGGGTACGTGTGCAGTTTCTATTTGGCATTTGGAGAGAATGAAGCAAAATATGTGATGTGATGTTTTGTGATTTCATATTGCATGAGAACTGGTTAGCAAGAGAGCAGGGAAACCTGAACAGTTAGCTAAAAGTAAAGAATTAACACTTTACAGTATAAAATAGGTAAAGGTAATGGTAAAATTGTTGAAACGGATTTCAGAAGTAGTGGATAAATGATTAGTATAATTGACTATAAATATAAAACGGTTTAATTAGATATATACATATATATTATAGATAGATAAAATAATGGTTGAAACAGTTAGCCAAAAGTAATAGCAGCTGTGGCTCAGGAGGTAGCGTTACCACTAATTGGAAGGTTGGTGGTTCGATTCCCAGCTCCTCCAGTGCGCATTTCGAAGTGTCCCTGGGCAACCACAAATTGCCCCCGCTGTATCATCGGTGTAGGAATGTGTGTGTATGGTAGAAAAGCGTTAAAGTGTGAATGGGTGAATGTGGCTTTCATTGTAAAGTGCTTTGAGTAATCAATAAAACTAGAAAAGTGCTATAAACATTAACAGTTCAGTCAAATGATTCTAACAATTGTGTTAAATAACATCCAGTTTAAATCAAATCAAATGAGCGCATTTTGAACATGACAGGTGGCTTTGATAAAAGGGTGAGTTCATCGTTAAGGGGCTGTGGGGGCACATCAGAGAAAAAAAGACTGGGGCACAGGATGCATAAAATAGTAAATTGTTTTATTCTTTTTTTAACCATGCCACTGAACACTGACGCATACAGAGTTGTGCCTGAATCCACACTGAGAAAACACTTTCACACACTGTGTTACAAAGCTGTAATGAAGAGGGATTTTACTGCACACATGGCAAGAAGAACAACCCTGATTGGATACCAGGTCGAGCTTTGATCTGGCCCTGAGGTAGACAGACATTGACATAATCTAAACAATGCTAATCACATCCTTCTAGGACACATCAAATAAAAGGACATCTGCATTATCACAACATAGAAAGATCAAAGAAAAAACCCTTTTCAAACAAAAGTGCTCTATTTCTTTTGGTCCACCGAGGAAATCCATTTATAGTGCATGTTCATGTAGAATAGATACAGTGAATGTGTGTTTTCATGGCACTGAGTGTTGTTGGCTACTTAAGAAGGCATTGGTAATGCCCACACATGCCAAGATGTGCTATACACACAGTTTTCATCCAAAGATCTCAGTCCATTGTCACTTTGAAGGAAATAATTTGAGACAAGCGTGTACTTTTACATCAAAAAATTGCTTGGAACTTGCATCAGAGTATCAGCCACTATCACAGTATGTTGCTTCCAGTTGCAATGTTGAGACGAAGTGGATCTACATGGCAGTCTATCTTTAATTAAGTAACAATAAACAAACACCCAGAAACAACTACCGATAGCACAGACCCATGTACTCAAGCACATCGATGCGCTACTTATAAAAGAGGCACGAGGGAGGGATCTTAATCAAATCAGAGACTTATAAAACACACACTTTAAGATGTTTCTCAAATCATACCAAATGTAAACAAATAGCAAATTACTGTAATACAAAAATACAACATGTTTTAAATCTATAAGGCCTGTGTTAGGCTCACATAAGGGAATAACATACCATGACAGTTTGTACATTACAGCTACACTACAACTGACAATAACCTGCTCATAGTGATTCAATGTCAGAATTTTCTTTTTCATGTTTTGTAAAAAAAAAACAAAACGACTTCTTTTCATGTTTTCTTCAATTTTCTTCTAGAAAATTCTGATTCTGTGATTTTATAAGACATCTATATATAGTTAATGATAAAAAACTACACATAAAAGCCATGTTGAGGCTCTTCTCATTTTTTTACACACTGTTTGACCATTTAAGTTATGACGTATTTGTTAGAAAATTAAAACTACTAATGGATGAATACTTTGCAGTAGGTTTAAAACAAACGGTTAAAAGTGAGGAGAGGTAGAGCTCGCTCTACTAGAAATCATCCCGAGAGACACCAACTTTGTGATGAAAACCAGTACATATTTGGTAACAAATAAACAACATATAAATAGCAAAACCTATTCCATTGCAAGAGAAACTCAAATTGTGAGCCAGTTACCTCAAACAATAACACCCACTGCAAGAAAGACAAGGCAATTAAAGAGATCAAGCTTATGAGGTCAAAACGTGGCAGCCATTCAAGTAAAACATGCAGAAAATAAACAACTCTAAAATAAAAATCCAACAGCAGAAAAAAACAAAACAAAACTGAGAAGTCACAGGAAATTAGGAGAGAAACCTTGCAAAGTTCAGCCAGTCAAGCCTTCATGGAATTGTTTCAACACCTACTGCACAATCATAGACGATGACTCAGGTTGCCTGATGGTTTAGCAATCAATCAAAAGGCTCCTGCTACACATACAGGTCAGGAGTCGCAGCCATTGTGGCACTGATTTTAACCACAGTGGATCCATTAGAGATACAGTTACTATCAAAACTGTGTGTGTGTAAGAGAGAGAGAAAGAATGTCTGTATGTTTGTGTGTATTTGGGCTGAAACGGTTAAGTGATCAGGAAACTGTCATCAATTTTCATAATCAATTGATTGTTTTTCTCATTTTTGCAGGGAAAGATACTAAATATTCACTGCTTCCCTCAAAATGTGGGAATTTGAGTTTCATATCATTATAACCTGCATCTCTTTGGACTGGCCTGTTGGTTGGACAAAACTAGTTATTTGAAGATCTCACTACCACGGCAATATTTTCTGACATTTTTTTTTTAGACTAAATGATTCATCTCTTATTAGTAAAAATTAGCAAATTGATAATGAAATTAATCATTATTGGCAGCCCTAGTGTGTTTTGTGTTTTTGTGATTTGTATTAATGCTAGCATGTTGTCAGGTAAAAACTCTCCCACAATCACACCTTCCCACAATGCATTTTTCAGTTTATTCAAAAAGAGTCAGATTTTTTTTTTTTTTTTTTTTAACCCATAAAGAAACATTTTATCCTTCAGCTTTAAAAATAAGCAGTATTGGAGTTTTCACCCAACTGTGTGTGTCTGTGTGTGAGTGTGTCAGATTGTGCGCGGGGTCCAAGTCCTGCTCAGACGTAACAGACGTACAGGTAAGTCTTTTCTATCCTCCAGTCCGCCGGCACCTCCTCAGGTTTGTGGCCCTTCATGTGCTTCTGCATGGCGGCCAGGCTCGGGCAGAAGTCCTGGCAGATGGTGCACTGGTATGGAGATGCTCCGTTGTGAGTGCGCAGGTGCTTGATCATAGCCGAGTAGTCTCTGGACCGTTGGTGACACAGCTTACACTCAAATGGCTTCTCACCTGAAAAATTCAACGATACAGCATTAACCTTGTAGACCCAGAGCCAGGGGCCTGCCAGGTGAAACGGGATTCACCTCTATTTCAGTCCATTGTACTTACTGTGGTATTGTGTGGTGTGTGTGCGTGTGTGAGTTTGTGCTCTAGGATTAGACCTATATCGGTTTGCCTTTAGTTTGATATTAGATATTGATCCGTCAATGTCATCCAGCACAAATTCAGTTTCTCTCTGACCTCTGTGAGATATTAGATAGCAGGCAGTAAAATGTAAGATGAAAGGAAATTTAACTTGTTGGAACAGTTAAATAATTGGATGTAGTTGTTTAATGGTGTTTTTCCTTTAAGATCTGTTAATTTAAGGCACTAGTGATTAGGATTTGCTGTATTTAGCTTCAGATTCACATAAAATTTTTAATGCCCTTTATCGTAAATTGTTTTGTCTCTTCACTTTAAAAATGATGTATCTTTGTGCGACACAGTCATTTTGGCTGTAAAAAAAAAATTCTATATTTTTCTTATTTTCAAAAGCCCCATGAAAAGAACTTCCAGCCTATTCATTTCCACTGAAGATATGAATCCAAAAACAAGCCACAAATATACTTTTATTTTTTAAGAAGAACAAATCATTTCCTGAAACCACTGGGCACTGTAGTTTTGAGTGAATTTGAACAGGGGCCTTTGTAGACCATTTTCATCTGCATATGAATAAACAATTGGTGAGTTTTTACAGCAGCAGGATGGTGTATGTGGTATTGGCGATGTTCATCATAATGAAGGAACATATAACCCAGTGAAACAGTGTGGTTCTTTGATGTGTTTTTAATAGTTTCTGAACTACACTGGAGCTCTGTGGCACACAGGAATAATATATATCAGGCTTTGGATATAAAGAAAATAGTTGTTAGCAGGAACAATTCATTGCATGTTTCTGTATTTTCATGGGATTGAGTGACAGTAAGACTTGCAATATTCTATATTTTTCATGTCCCTTTAATTTAAAAATACTGAACTACTAAGCAAATAAGCTCTATTAACAGCACCAATACCCTGAAGACCCTGCTCTCTCCTGTATGTTTGAGTGTGTTTTGGTCTCTGAACTCGCACCTGTATGTACACGGTAGTGTGTCTCTAGCTGGTGTTTGAGGCTGAACCTCTTCCCGCAGCCGTTGCACTCATAAGGCTTCTCTCCTGTGTGGATGCGTTTATGGCCCCTCAGCGTGCCGTCGTCTCTGAAACAGCTCCCGCAGAATTCACACTCAAACGGGTGATCGCCTGAAAACACAGAGGGGTCACAACAGCAGCCACAACACCAGCACAGCCCATTATCATGAGAAACATTAAAGGCTAACTTTATCCTTGACACAACATGGTATGGTGCATATGTAGCTGCATAGGTCAAATAGTCACACAGGCCTTTGTGCACATGCATATCAGGCCGGGAAATAATGTGCTTTCAAACGTTGCTAATGTTATGACATGAGGACACTCCTCTTGGCTGTCTGCTAATAGCTAATAAAAGTCCTCCAGGCATGTGCTGCTCTGTTCTCTATACTGTAGTTAATCTATTTCTCTCCTAGGCTGAGGGTTTGACTCATCTCCAATGACCTATGTGCCTCATTATCTCAGTGTCCACAGCAACAGCCAAGTCAGAGGATACATTGCTCTCCTCATTACAGGCCGATTCTCCCCAATCCTCCACCCCACTGCGGAGCAGATGACATTTACAAAATGTTACTTCCAAGCAGAATGGCATACAAACAAGATACGCTGCCATGGCCAAAACTCCCTTCACTTCTGTCTCTTCACATCAATTATGTATTTCTCCTGTCTAGACATCAAGCCGTCCTGACAGCTGGGAGTGTTATTTAAGGTAAAAGAAGAAAGGGGGACATCTTTTCAGTAAATATCTCTCCGTCTCCTGCGGCACTAAGACTCACCCTCGGTAGAACACACAGACAAGTCATTTCCATTTGCTTTTCCTTCAATATTTATTTGGGTTTCCTCTATCATTTTGGGTGAACCACACTAGAACTGACAGCCGTGAATTGCAGAAGCCCAAAGGCTGTATAAGAACCCAAAATATAAACAGGATGAAATTGCCCAAAATATGCACCGGCCATAACGGTACAGTGCTGTCATCAGAGAAGTGAGTCATCTTATAGAGAAGGAAAAAAGGAGGGTGGGAGAGGATGCATGCAAATTGACTAAAACCTGAAAGCCAATAACCTAAGGAAATTAACCCAAATACAAAAATAAATACCCGCCGTCTTTGTCTCGTTCTCAACATATGCATGCGTTTGACACCAAATGTTTATGTTTTGTGACAGGAGATGACACTACAGACAGCGATGCTGGTGCAAATGATCCATGTCTTACCCGTGTGCGATCGCAAGTGTCTTTTGAGGGTAGTGTGGCTGGGGAAGGGGCGCTCACAGTGGCTACAGATGTAGCTGTGCATGCCTGCGTGGACCTCCATGTGCTGCTGCAGGGCCTTCTGGGTCTGGAAGCGCTTTGCACACAGCAGACAGAACACCGCCATGTCAGTCCCTGGAGAACGCACAAGACACAGACGCACAGTTATTTCAGTACCATACACAGACAGGGCCTTAAGTGGGGAAACTGGGTCACTTCAACTTTGTGTGAGTCCTCAGAGGGAAAAGCTTCTTTCAAAGAGCAAGTGCCTCTACCTAAACTAACTCCCCTAAAAGCCCAGAGGCACTTTCTACTGCGAGTCTTTATACGTTCTATTTTAAACCATGAAAGTCATTGTTTTCTTTAAGAATTTCCCACACAATGCACAGCATGCCAATCACACAATCAATGGCTCCTTCCTGGTGTGTTAGATGTGTAATTATTCTCTTCATTCCCCATCAGGAGTCAGCTCCAGCCTGTGAAGTCCTCTGTCTCTGTGCTCAAAGAGCGGCTGATAGTAGCTCCACCCTAAATGATGCCTACACTATGCGCTCCGTGCAGAATGTTAAGTAGTGATATCAAGCCATTAAAGGCAGGACTGCAGGAAAAAACACAATCCAGTTTAATCCTGTGTGTGACCTGGCATCTCTTTGGGGCTGCTTTCCTGTTGCACAGAGTGTGGAGAGGAATACAGATAGGGAGTCGCTGTTAGGGTAGTTTAAGTCAAAATGGCTTTGTGAAGAAGATCCATTGGCTGTCATACAGTCAACACTTGATCTACAGGCTGTGAATGCCAGAACGGATTTGAGTGCTGGCATACAAGTGTTTGACTGTGCGTGTTTGACTAGTGCAAATTCATATGTGTGGTAAAACTGAGGGACTGGTTAATCAGCTGCATTGGACATAATGTGCATGTCCTGGAGAGTGAGGCTTTAATGTGAGATTATGAGGTCCTTATTTCTCTGTCTGCTCAGGTTGCAGATCATTTACAATGCTAGCAGGTCCCATTGCTCCTGACTCAGATTCAATCAGACATCTCCAGCGGAGGATCATTAGTAAACAGAGGACTGTGCCAGCACTTCATTGGAATTCAAGTGGGGTTGCTGTGTCGCATTTAAAATGCAGTCTGATGAGGTCCACTAAATCAAATCATTTGTTACTGTTATTGAAGTGCCTTGAGGCAACTGGCAATTAAATTGGAATTAACGCAGGGAAAGGGATACAGCACACTCATACTAAGAGGGAAGAGTGTCAGACACTTGCTTTAGGTTCAATCAAGTTAACAGACGCCTGTTCAAAGCAGAGAGAAAAAGAAACAAATCAAGAAAATTCACATTTCAGGGATAAATCAGAAACATTCACTGTGTGTTGTTTACTAATCCACGTATCACAATTTGTTCAAACAAAGCAAGATGCTTTTTTTAGTCTTAACATTTCACAGATAAGTACAATTTGGCATAAACACACAAAGCCTGTTCTTTGAAATTATGTACAATTATTTATATATATATCTATAGTTTCTTTTTGAACCTAGTTTTGAAATTTTCCCCCCAAAACGACTCTAATAGAACTCATCATTCGTAATCATTAACAGAAAGAAGACAGGATGAAAGACATTCCCTGATCTTAACAATCCTGGAGGGAGGTGAGCCGGTGGAATGAACTGCACCTGTTCAGAGGCTTTATCCTGTGGACTTTTGCACAAAGGTTACACAATGAGGTTCAGGCCCTCATTGACCAAGCCCATTAGTCATAGGCTACTCACACAACTCCTACAATCCCTGTCTTTATGCTGTCGGCTAATGACCAAGGCCCTTTCTCACCCACGGATCACAATATTTTAGTTGAAGACAAAAGACCCTCCATTCTCGACGCCTCTGCACCCTCCCCACTCCTCTCATCCGCTGACCATACAGGAAATCCTTTCACTGTCTAACCAGCTTCACTTTCTGCCTGAGTCATACCTAACTAATGCCAGTTCACTAAGCATAGTGCAACAGTGCAGTCTGGATAATGATCTATCTAAAAATGGCTAAAGACATTCAAGAAGCACAAAATGCAGTCACTGCATGACCTGTGATGTGGGGCCTTGATTCACTTTAACTAGTTTCTCTGGTAATATTTGCTGCAGCCAGCAGGGGGAGTGCTTTCTGTTCCAATGTGTCCAGGTTAGTTCAGCTGCAGGCAAAGCATAGCAGAGCCCTTAACAAACTGAATAACACATTATCCACCTTGTAGTTACTTCAAAGCTACTTTAATTATCCTCTCTCTCCACTCTCTTTATTAACTATCATATATTGTAAATGGCTGTTTCAATGCAGCCCATGTGCTTTGTTCTGGCTGCTCTGAAAGTTTAACATTCCAGTTTCTTTAAGGAGCTAAAGCGTTACTCCCTGACACACTCGCAGACACTCACAGATGTATATCCTGATCCCTCTGTCACCAACAATACTGAAACTTGACAAAAGAAACATGACAAATATTCTGTCACAAGAATCTCACTCTTGATCTCAGGTTGACACACAGTGACAACAGCTCTGCAGTCGTTTTCGATTTTATTCTGCGCAACCGACGCTGAAAATAAAAATGACAAATAATATCTTGAAGTGTAAACAAAAACCTTCGGAGGCAAGGAAGTGTTTGTATGCGTTAGTGGTGGCATTTCGCCTCGCTGTGCTCTGTTAACTTTTCAAACGAAAAGGATTTGCAGTTGTAGAGTTTTCCAGTAAGCTTTGGTAATAAGTGCGGAGGAGCTTCTTTATGAGAGAATAAGCCCTAAAGTTGGCTGTCATTGCCCCCTGCTTTCTCACCCTTAACCAGACAATGGGCCTGGGATCTGGGTTTTAAGGCACAGGATGACCCCCCGACCCTTGGCCCTCAATGGGGTAAATACCATGTAATCAATGGTATTCCTCAAAAGGCTGGAGAGTTGACTGAGCATTGTGTTTAGAGGGAGGGAGCCTTAACAGTGAGAATAATGATTTACTTTCAAGCAATTCTGCTATGAGGCAGAAGATATAAACATTTACTGTGTGCATTATATTACTGAGCTGCTTGTCTAATGCACAATTAGTTTTGTAATTCAGGGTGGTTTGAGGTTTTTATGTTATTTCAGCATATCTCCACTAAGGCGATGTGTATGCTCATGTGATTTAACATGGTCTGCCTTCATACATCTGCCACTTATTCAGTCCAACTGAGGTGGGAGCCAGCCAGGCTCTCACGCTGCCTAAGAAACAAAACCATGTGTCTAGGCAACCAGATAGGATCATGGTCCTTGTTGGGGTGAAGTGTTCAAGCTAATCCCTTCATTCACAAATAAGCGCAGCCTGTTTCTTTTCAAGCGGCAAACAAAAGTTTTCCCACCCTGAGAATCTGGGAGTAAACCCACTGCAAATTGAACAAGAGATTGTATTCAGTGACGCCCGCAAATCTGTATAATTTCTTCTGTGTTAATCTTAACTTTAGTGTCCGCTGCCCACCATTTACACTGATTGATTTGTAAATAATTTTGCTTTATATCTGCTAAACTCTATAGAAACAAAAACATGTCATTTTGACTGCTGTTTTGCAAATAATTTGCCCTATTTTAATAAATCCCTGCAGAATTTGATCTGTTAAGGTATTTATTTCAGTAAATTGTGAATGACAGCCAAATGAAAGCTAAACAAATCCCCTGCTGCTATCAAAAGGACAAGGAATTTCACACAGATTTCACAATTTACAATATTACATCATTGCTGATCATGCCCATCAGCTAGAGTATGCAATGTGAAGACAGTATAGACTGTTTCCTAAGGCCCCGCTCAGTGAATATACGGTTTCCTTACTGTATACTGGCCCACTGATATCGCTCAGTTAAACATACAGTCATGCAGGCTACATTATGTGCTAGACCTCACATGACCCTGTGCATTCATACTACTGTATGTGTTCACTGAGGCACTTCCCCTAGATGTGGCGGCTCAAGAGGCGCACACACAAACACTACAGTACCTTAAACAACCCCGGGTGCTCATCAGTAGACTGCTAATCTACCCGAGTGAGGAACAGCCGACTCAATAATTAATGCAACAAGAGATACGTTGCTCGTGTTTAACCACCATTCCATGGACCGGTTCATTGAGGTCACACACTGTTTCGTTTGCCTCAATTCCAAAAATGTTTACAGTATTTTCTCTATCTACTGTATTTCACTTTGCAGGAAATGACGGGGCATCCCGGGGTTTTGTGTATCGTGACAGTCAGTGCAAATAAATACTGGGGACACAATGGCCAAACGGAGCACAGTTCAATTCAGTTTAAGGCTTGTACGAATTACAACTGGGTATTAACAGGAGAGTGCAATATGATGACGGACACTCAATTAGGCGAGCTAAAAGGTCTGCATTAAGAAGGCTGTATTATAAAGCCTGGGCCGTATCTGAATGGACTACTGGACTGTTTAATTAGGGTTCGGACAGAAGGTAATATTATTCACTTGATGAAGCAGCTCGTAATGTGTGGAAACAGTGCAGCTGCTGTGAGTACACAAAGGCAGCACTCTTGTGGCCTTTGCCTTGAAGGCAAGGTGGCACAATGGTCAGTATGGTTTGAAGGATATACAGTCACTTTCTGTGTGTGCTGTTGATAAGCTACAGACTCGGGTTTTCCAATATTGAAAGCTTGGTACCCCAGACTCTTGACTTGCTCTGATTAAACAAACCCCTTTGTTGTGAGAGCAATTCGGAGACAGATCCATTCTTTTATTTTGGGCACTGACAAGTAGGTCAGAGGAGACTATGACAGTGCTGTGGTGAGGAGTAAACAGCAGCACATGATGTTGTTTTCCTCTCAGTCCTGGCATCCAACACCAACAGCAATCCTCTTGCCCTCAGGAAGTCCTCACATACCCCCTACCCCCTTCCCTTCCCTTCCCACAGTCCACTCCGCCCCCAACCCCCTCTCCCTCCTCTCTTTGATCTCTAACTTCAGCAACCCACGGCCATTCACCTCTGACATATCAAAATGGCTAAAGAGACTTTCACTGTAAACTGGTCTTGCAGCCAGTGTTGCCAATTGCTTCAGAGTAAGGTCTCCCAAAAGTAGTATTATTTCCCCTCCAGAGGAGGTGGACAGCAGTGTTGCAGCTGCTGAGGTCTGACAAGTGTTAATCTGCTAAGAGGAAACTCATTTGGCTCACTGGTTATGCCACATGGCAAATTAAAGCCGTGGCTGCACCAACAGCACTGAGCACTAAAAGATCACGTGTGTTTTTAGGAGAAATAAAATCCAGGTGATATTTATTAAATCTTTTAATTGAGTTGGAGCAGTGTCATAATTTCCCCACATAACCTCAACACAGCTGATTAAATTACCTGTAGCTCATGTCATCAGCTGTGAGAGCTACAATAAGAGTCAGTAAAAAGGGTCATGCGTCACAGCAGACCGAGCTGAGATCATGACAAAATGAGAGAGTAATGCCCTCCTGTACCCTGCTCTGGACACAATGCCAAGCTGAAACCGAGCTCTGGATGTTTACAACTCAGGGAGATGAGGGTAGAAACTTCTGGGCATCGTTAACACCCCTCCATGTCCACATCCATTAACTATTCATACTGTGTGTGCCACCCGGAGTTACAGTTACATGCCAGTTCTCCTGAGAGGGTTATCACCTTTCTCTGACAGTAGCAGAAAAGGTGTGGATTCAGACACTGTCAGGCATATGTACCATCTGACAACAATCCCCCTGTTTTTCACAGTCAGAGAGGTCTGAGTAAAATGTGTTGTTAAGTCTCTTGCTACAAGATAATAGGATGATATTCAAGAGTAAAGAGCCACTTCATTGCAGGCCGTACTTGCAGTATAAGTTTTATAGGTTGTCAAAGATTTTATCAATGGCAAAAAAGTAGTTGTCAGTGCTTTAAAACCAGCATTAAGATGTTGTAATATCGAATTTACCAGGTTGTGGGTTTATGATCATGTTAAATTTAAGATAAACATCATCTATCTTAAAAATTTAAATGGAAAACTGGTTAATAGGGATTTTTTGTCCATGTAAGCTTGCAAGTAACTATTATATTTATTACTGATTAATCTGTTAATCCTGGATTAATCATTTGGTAGATAAAATATCAGAAAATAGTGGAAAATGACCATCATAATTTCCCAGAGCCCAAGATGTTTTCATATTGCTTGGTTTGTTCAACCAGCAGTGTACAAACTAAAGTTATTAATTTTACTGTGGTAGAAGACTAAGAAACCAGCAAATATTGACATCAGAGCAGCTGGAAGCAGTATATTTTTGAAAATTTTGCTTAAAAAATTGAACGATTATCAAAATAGTATCAGATTAATTTTTTGTTGATCAATTAACCAACTAATTGTTTCAGCTTAAGCAACCAGCTTTGAGCCATAAATGACATTTTAAGTCATTAAAAGTTTTATTTATTCAAATTTTTGGAAGCTTTCTTTCAGAAGGAGTCAGGGACCAAACAATTCACAGGGGGGTTCCTTCCTTAATTTATCAAAGAGCTAAAAATATGAAGCAAGCCATGTTGGCACAGAATACACATCCTGCTGAAATGTAGGCACACAATCTATTTGTTTTAATGGATTATTACTGATACATCGATGTACATTGTTTAAAGTGAGCTTGTGTGGTGGGATTTAGCATTTTTACATATATGTATTATGTATCTTATGTTTGAAATCTGTTTATGCTCCATGTTTCACTTGGCTGCCAAACAACATTCTCCTCTGGCACAATAAATTTAAGTTGAGGTCGACAGAGAAAGTATTACTTTTAATGAAGTCATTACTTAATTAAGCCCTTTTATATGTTGGCCTCAATTATAACGTGGTACTAAAAGTAATAACGACTCCTGAATCTAATAATAGTAATATTCTTACTACCATCAATAATAAAAATACCAATTTACTGAGAAAAATATTTGTGTTCTTTGGCTTTCTCCTGATTTTAGTACTTCTTACTTCATCGTTAATACATTTAATTGTCCTTGTTTTTGTATCTCATCTTTTTTGTCTCCTTTCTTTAAAGCACTTTCTAACTTCGTACTAACTAGCACTGCTCAGTTTCTTTGTTTGCTTGCCACTAATAATACTAATAATAATGTTGATTTTTAAGAATTGATTTAAAAAAAATGAAAATGACTTCAGCTCCTCAGGCAACTTGTTCCAAACCCAAAGCGTCCAGATTGCAAATCACAAGTCACCATCCAGGTTGTGCAGTCTCTCAGCCAAAAAGCGCAACTTTAAGAAAAAAATATTTTGACTCATCCTAGAGCCAACTGTTAATGGCAGACACTTGCTGGACAGGAAAGGATTTTCTTAATTTGAGAATACTGAAAACGATAAAAGGTGTTCATCTTGTTGTTGAGTGTGTGAGTGTAAGGTAAATAACTCCACAGCTGTTCTCAGGCAGCAGATGAGAATAACATATCTGTGAAACTGTAATACTCGTGCTGTAAAGCTGCGGCTGTGGCGAAGTGGCATGCAGTGGGTCTGGATGCCAACAGATATTAGTGGGTGATATGTGAGAGGGCCTCCCACCTCCATGTTGATAAATTATGGAGCATAATGACAGGAACAGTTTAACCCTGCCAGCATGACAAGCAAGTTTAGACCCACGATCACAAGTCCTGTAGTCATGGCTTACTCGACAGGTCAATGCATGCTGTCCAGGTTAAACATAGCGTGTGTGTGTGTGTTAGTGCATGTTTGTAAAGTACCTGTGTGTGTTTGCCTGTGGGCTTCCAGAGCATCCTCTGAGGAGAATGTTGCTCCACACTGATCACACACCAGCGCCTCTGCAGGAGCTGTAGATAAAATCAAATTTATAAGAATGTATCTTGATCAGTCATGAGCACAAACGTGTTTGTAATTGTAGAGTAAGTCAGTTAATTTAGCATTTATAGAGAACTGTGGAAAAAGCAACAAGAGAGGAACAAAGGCGCCCTATTTCAGAAATCACCAAAGAGGCTTGCTTGTCACACACTTGTGCTTTTCAGGTGTTAACACAAGGAAGCAAATGCGCAGAGTACAATGGAGCAGAGGAAAGCGCCATAAAAACACAACTCAGGACAAACAAAAGCACCAGACAGAGTGCAACGGGCCTCCTTCTTGACAAAAAAGAGCCAAGCTGAAGAGTTTTATTTACCGTGCCCTGTTATCAGTCTCTGAACAGTGAGCAGACTGTCTGCCTGAGAGGCCACAGAAGGACTGGGTGTTCTCTCTACAGCAGACGCTTCCCGCCTGCGGCACATCCCTTTATCAAAAAAACACTTCAGAGTCAACACCCCAAATCCCATCGCATACACTGTAACTACAGTTCCCAGTTCACCTTTGGAATGCCCTTGTCTATTCTGATGAAGACATGAAACAGACAAGTATGCATACTGCTTGCAGAAACATTCAATCCTTGTTATGCACTCACCTCACACCTGCACAGACAGACACATAGGGCAGATATGCACACACACACACACACACACACACACACACACACACACACACACACACACACACACACACACACACAGCTGTTTGGATGTGGGTTGGCTCTCACAGAGATGTAAATCGGTTGCAGATCCATACTGGCCCAGGGCTCATTCACTGATCTATTTTCTGCTCAGCTGGCTTTAAATGAAGTTAAAATGACTCATTAAAACACCCACAAGCTTTGGGAACTCTGAGCGCTACAGCCTAAATGTGGTCCTCTTTCAACTCTTACGATGCCTCTATACACAGACACTGTGCCACTGTTCCCAGTGCTGCACACAAATAACAAAAAAGCCCCAATCTGTTCATTTCTAAAAACAACAATTTTTGAAAACAAACTGTTACTGTTTGGGATGGTGCGTTTTGTTACACGGCACAAAAATAAAACTTGGTTGAGAGAATTTTTATATAGTAGTAACACTGGAGCAGTGTTGTAGATCCTGATGTTGTGTGACGCTGTCCAGTGTGGTGTGTTGTGTTGTGTGAGATTGTGTGATAAGGGAAGAAGAGAACATAGTGCATTGTCTTGTGCAGTCAAAGGCACGGAGTGTGCTCTCATCCATAAACCATCAAACTGTCTCCAGACGCGGCTGCAATCGTCCTCCATCAAAACACTTTGTCTGGCATACCAAAATAAGAGCCAGCATCGAGCTGAATACCAAATCAGCCCATTAGAGCAGTGGAGCACTCGCTCCTTAGCAACCAGCGGGATCTAAGGCTGCTATACCGAAATACACAGTGACAAAGAAATGAGATCCACATCTCTCTTTTTTTTTGTAGCATTATGGGTTGACACATTGGGATGGGGAGAGTTTATGCAAAAATTCAAATTAGGTTAAAGGTGCTGCTGTTGTGGCTGTCACTGCGAATTGAAAATCAAAGCGTGTTGTCGAGGTCTGCAAGCAATGCAAGACAATATGCGTGTGTGTTTAGGGTTGTGCAGAGGATATAGACGAGGGAAAAAAGGGACGACTCAGGTGAAGTTTAAAGAAGCAGATTCTCTCTCATCTGTCAGCAGTATGTCATTCCCGAACAAGGGACCTCGCCTTGTCTATACACATATTCCAGTTGAGGTTTCTGTTTTAGTTTCATTTTTAGTCCCTGATCCACCCTCCCACCCCCACCCCTCTGCTCCTCTTTCTCTATTTTGGATAAAGTAGCTGGGAGAGCAGTCAGGTCTGATTAAGTCTGCATTTGGGTACAGTGTGTTCCTGGACACACATCTGCGAGCGAGCCATCACACACGCTTCGGAACACTGGCAGAACACCCAGGCCTGCCGGCAGCTGATGATGTCATCACTCAGAAGGGGCAGAACTGGCGAGCTGCCAGAGTCTCCGAAAAAACACAGAAACGATTCAAACGGAGAGAGACTAGAGAGAAAGACGGGGAGGAGAGGAGCGGGAGGGAGAGGTACATAGACCTAAGCATGGAAAAGAAAGCATGATCCAAGTATTCGGAGCAGCACTAACTGGTGGGAGGAGGGGGAGGAGGGAGGAAGGGTTTGTAGTATGAACAGGTGCATTTGAAAGGCCGCACTATCAAGAGGCTTCATAAGCACAGAATACTGTGAGATGAAGAGTGTGAGAGTTACTAAGTACCTGTGTGAGACAGCATGTGCATCCTTAGCCGCATGCTGTCCTGGAAGTGTTTGCCACAGTATTCACAGCCGTGGCCCTTCTCCTCGTTATGCAGCCTCCTGTGGAAAGACAAACACTAATGTGAGCGTGTTAACAGAGCGAAGAACGCACTCGTGATAATAAAAGTATCTCATTTCTGCGCCTTTTCTGTACAGTCTCCCAAACCCAGAAGCATCATTGTCCTCATAACAAGAGGAGCATGTTTTAATTCCGGCAAGAATCCCTCACTGAATGCAGCATCATTAGTGTAAGAGGCCCTTGGAGTTGTGAATCACAACGCATGAATGCTAAAAGAACACAGACAATAGGATATCTGGCTAATTTCAGAGTGCAGACATACGCGTGCCTCCACCCGCCAGCACTGCAAGACACTGGGCATGCACACAAACACCACACACATACACACACACACCCACCAAGTACATGCACACAAACTCACATCCCAACATAACATGCGCGCACATACACTTCTCCTGTAACTGCAATGAAAAGGAGAAAGGAAGATGATTCGCTGAAGCTCTGCCGGCAGCAAAACCTATCATATCATATCACACACATCCAAGCATGCAAGGCATCTGTACTGTTATCCTTATATCACCCCGCTCACAGCAGAGCAAATGGCCTAAAAAGAGTTCACAGCTAAACACACTCTGTGGTCAAAATAAATGTCCTGGGATGTAATTTAACACACATAAAATAAACATTTACATATTAAGGAAAGGGAATAATTTTGGAGCTATATTCTCAGGAGCACTGGCAATTTTTCAGCTTTTTACTGTAAGTTTAAAGATGTAACTTAGTTTTTATGATAATTTACTTCATTAGCTACAAACGAAAGCTTTTATTTTGGCAGTCTTAGGTGTGAGCTATGTAACCAGGATGTATAATCTACATTTCCTTTTCTCTCTATACTGTTAACTATTTAGTAAAATTGTATAGCAACAGTTTTTATTTCATAAAATTATCATTATTATTATTATTATTATTATTATTAAATCCTTTATTTAAACAGCTAGTCTCTTATATGGAGTCTCCTGGTGGCCTAGGGGTTAAAGGTGCTGATCATGTGATTACAACTTTCCCAGTTTGAGTCGAGGTGGGAAATTTGTAAAATTTAATTCCCCATCTCTCATTCCCCATCCCTCTCTCTCCTCAATTCTTGTCTCGTCTTCAGTATAATAAAGACAAAAAAATGCATTTAAAAAGGCAAAAACGCCATAAAGATTTTTATTCCTAAAAAGCATACAGACGATAATTAGTTAATTAATTTAAAGATATTGAAAAAATTAGTTGTCTAGCCCAATAATTTGTTTTATCAGCAGAGGTTTCAGTAACCTTTAAAAATTAACTGAAGTACTGTAGTTAACTCTGCATTATCTTTAAAAGAATATTAAAATTTTTATTATATTTCATTTTTATTTTGGAACTCAATTTCTCAACTTTTTCTTCCTTTTTCTATTTACTTTTTCTACTAGGACTACTTCAGCAAAAAAAAAACCCAAAACAAATCTGTTTAACTTCTATGCTTTTTCATACTATGACTGTGCCAGGAGACGCTTCTTTAACAACACTACAAATGTCAATCTACAGACCAGGTGTATGCTCAGTGACCTGGTTACAGACCTGCAGCATCTTCATTACATCCTCAAGCAGTGCCACCAATGCAACTCCCTCAACCTGCGGACATCCGCCTGTCTCCATGAGTAAGCAACGCGCATCACTAAATATCCCACAGGATGCTCTGTTTCGCTGGGCGGTTTCAACACAACTCTAAAGTGGCACGATGCTGAAATGTCAGCCACAGGCGCAGACAGGGGAAAGGCTGTGATCCTAATCATGGGTTAGTTACATATTAGGACTTTGGGCTCACAGATTGTTTTGTTTCTAATGATTAGTGATGAGTCAAACACTGCCAAGCACACACACAATTATAAACATCTGCAATCAAGTTAATGAGAGTTGTCATTGAGATAGCTGGTAAGTTTTTCTGTGTACAATGACAAAATACAAACTGGCAAGCTCATAAATAAAGGAGAAATAAAGAAGAAACGGCAGAGCGAATCGAGAAGCACAAGTTATCCATCATCTAGCTGAAGCGTCCAGCCTGGTCCCTGCTGAGCGGCTCCTCTCTGCTGATGCAAAGGAATGCATATCAAATAGCTTGGGAGACAGCCAGACACACTTCTGCACAAATAATCAAACAGAATTTCAGAAATAAGGCTTTGTAAATAACAGCATTATAAGACACCGAGGCCTCTTTATATCAAATCCCTCACAAAGACCCGATTCAAAACTTCCCGACACGTCTCACTGTTAAGACACGAGTGCAGGTGTCCCTGAGAATAAATTAACATATTTGCTGTTGCTCCTTCCAGCTTTTAACTCTCGTAGTATTTTAAAATGTTGAAGGGGAAAAATCCTGAAGACCAAAAACAGTTCCATTCAAGAGACACATGTCCGATGCATTTCCTAACAGCATAATCAACTACTTACATTCATGATGGCGCGCAAGCACACATGCACCTGCAAATCCCCGCAAATCTTTTCTTAGACCTAACATGTTTATCAGTAAAAATGTGGAGCAGAGAGTGTAGCAGCATTGTTGCTGTTGTTTTGTTTTTTTCAGCAAAAATGTCATAGACTAAAGCTATGACCTCTTTCTTTTGGCTTTAACAAGTGATAATGAAATTTCGGAGCCCAGTATGAAACTATAAGAAACTAAAATAGATTAAAACACACTGTAAAGCTGCAGAAGAGTGTAAAAAATGTGGTGGTGATGAATATTTCACGCGTGTTACCTGTGCTGCTCCATGGCCTGCCTGCTGTGCAGCTGAAGCCCGCATTCGCCACAACACTGCTGGCCTTGAGTCTGGCCCTCGTGCCTCATCCCTGCTGCAAACTGGCCCAGCCTGCTGAGGAGCTCTCTGTGCAATAAGCCTTGGTGCAGCAGACCGCTGTAGGCCCTCGGGTCCAGTGGCACGCCCAGGGACGGGGCCACTGAAACGGACACTGGCAGAATCCCCTCCCCTGTGTGGTTGGAGGGCACAGTGTATATGGAGGCCAGATGTTTCTCAGCCATCCCAGGGAAACAGTCAAGAGAATTCCCCACTACTTGTCTTCCGTCTTCGGGGCCTGTGTTCAGCTCTCGGGCACTGGTGATCACACTGCCTCTGAGGGGTGTCCCCGGGCCCTCGTCTCTGGGCTGATCTGACACACAGCTTCCCTCCCCAGCGCTGGAGGACCTGCCCTCACAACTGTTGGCTTCATCCACCTGCATGCTCTCGGATTTTATACTTCTAGCAGGATCCAGAGATGAAGCCTGGGATAACTCTGCACTATGCTGCAGAGGCTGCTGGGAACTCTCCATGCCAACGTCCGTGTCTACCTTGGGGCTCGATTCAGGAGCAACATCAAGCTCTGGACCAGGAGAGCTCCTCTCCGTCATGTGATACAGTGCCAGGTGGTGTAGAGCAGTGGGAGTAGTGCGGTTGGGTCCGTCCTGTATGGAATGCTTCTTGGACATCAACATGTGCCTCCAGTGCCTGGCCCGGCTGTGGTCACTGTGGTCTCCAGAGCTGTGATTCCTCACCGCCACCTCCTCGCTCTCCTCTGCCTGGATGGTCTCCAGCACCTTCAGACACTGCTCCTCCAGGTACTCGATCTCCAGGATCTCTGCAGCATACAGCAAGTCATCCAGGTCCTCCGCTGTGGCCTGGAGGGACGCAGTGTAGGCGTACTCCAGGATCTGCTGGAAGGTCTTGGGGGACAGGAAGTCCAGGGCGTAGCGCAGGCTGCTGCGGTGGAACAAGATCTCGAACATCTTGCTGGTGCAGGCCAGGACGGTGCGGTGCGCCGGGAACTCCTGGCCGTCCACCGTGATGATGACATCACATAAGGTGCCTGTCAGACGCATCTGATTCGCCCGCTGCAGAAGCGTGCTGGGGTGAGTGGGATTGTGGAGCTGGAGCACACCCATGTTTGTCAGACCCGTATCCACTCGGACCTTTGCTGAGCCCACGCATGAGGTGTGGCTGTCCTGCCTGCTTCACTTGCCTTCAGCTGGTTGTGGGTCTGTGGTTTGAGTGGAGGGGGAGGGTAGAGGATCATTAGCGCCTGTCTCACTTAACAATGTGATGCAAAAGACAGTTAATTATACTCCAGTCTACACTTCCATCCATCCTCAATCAATGGGAATGTTTATTTTAAATAATATGAATTAAAAAAATAGCAGATTAAATATATTCTGTAGAATATAAACCCCTCACTTGATCATTTCAGGGGGCTTATTTCATGCACCCAACATGTTTATTTATTTTAATTAAGAACCAAAGGCAGACAACAGGTCGATAAGCGCAAAGCATCAACAGTTTCCATTGCAGGTGATTAGTCTGAGGTCTCGTTGAGAAGCGGTCACGTCGCTGTAATAACGTCTGCATACTGAGAGGTGACGGTTCAATTTATCAAGCTCCTCACATACACATACACACACACACACACACACACACACACACACACACACACACACACACACACACACACACACTCACACCTATGCCCTCAACAGGTAGGCCTGCCATTAACAAACGCATTGAAGGGCTGATTAGTTCATTTAGGCTGCGCACGTTCATGATTAGATGTGTAAAAGACAATTAAGGCACTCAGCTGAAAATTCCCGAATAAGTTATAAAACTATCAAATTGATAACAGGATGAAGATGAAGCGCAATCCTGACAGCGCTTCATGTTATTTACCCTCCATTTAAATACCTGGATGACTGTCTGGGAGACGATTAAGCTCTGGATGATGTTTAGTGTTGTCGGACCACTCAGCAGCACCTCGAGTGATGCTGACAGGCTGCATCCTCAACTAACCGCAACATCGGAGCGCATCAGGTGCAGACGCACAAATCCACCTTTATTATCCAAACACATTGCGACAAATTAACCCTCACTACGCGCTTATTTACTGTCTGCGCGGTGTGCGAGGGAACGCGTGCTGTCCAGAAATAAAAGACCCAGTTTATCTAAAATAGTCCAATGATATCACGCTGAAGTGAAACAGTCTGCGATACAGTCTGAGCTTCATCAAGTTTGTAAAATCCTAAATCAGGCTGCGGGTAAACTTCGGTCGATTTCCACATGTCCACTGTCAGACAAAATGACAAAAATCCGCCACCAAAATTGGCGTCATTTAACATATTGAAATTAGTCTAGAGACTGAAAAGAAGTTCGTCGGAGCACAATGATCAGGCTGAAATAATCAGGAGAAATAATAAAAGTGGCGGCTGTCACAGTTCTTACCTCTGTCTCCTAACGTCCTCCGCTGATTATCCAGGCAACATCATGGTTACACATTTCACAGTACCCGCTCCAAACTCAGTCCTGCTCCAAGTAAGCAAATCATCACCCAGCCACGACAGTCAAAGCAGTGGGGATAAAACACGACTTCCGAGTACAACTTTCAAAATAAAACAAGTCTGGAAAACCACGTGTTGAAGTGTAAGACAGAATGTAGCGCGACTATAATGTGCCATTAAGGAGATGTCCAGTTAATTAATAGTAAACCTATGTTACAACTAAACTTCAGAATTTATGACAAAGTATTTTTAAAACAATGTTTTGGTTTGCCATTTTCTGTCGACAAAGACTATCAAATTAAAATGAAGCGTCTAACACATTACTGTATCACTAATAATAATAGGCTAATGTAATTTGTGGAGTTCATTGTGCCTGTGTAATGACTGCCTCTGGTTGCATGCAGAAGTTTGGACAAATTACACATTTTGTTGATTTTTAGTAGTGAAAAGATGCAGTGACAGACACTAAGAATGAGCCTTTCCTCAGATGTTAATGCTGTTATTTGTTTATTTAATGAACTTACAAAGGAAACAATTAAACAGTAATTATTGACTGTGTTGGAAACCCTTCTAAGTCAGTACTTAGTAACCCCCCCTTTGGCAACTGTTAGGCACTGGGGTGGAAATATTATTCATTGGGGTTGTGTAGCTGCCAGTGGCACAGGAAACACTGCATGGATAGAGGGAAGAATGGATTCCAGTAAATATCAGTAAATTTTTGGATTCAACTGTCTCGCAGTCAGTCAAGAAAGTGAGAGTGAAAAGAGGTTGGCTTCTACTTCAGGACAGACTTCAAAATCCACCTTGAACTACTTCAAAAACACAACCTGAAGCTTAAGAGATTTCCCTCGCAGTCCCCTGACCCAAACATGACTGGAAATCTATGGGTAGAGCTTAAACATGCTGTGTGTGCAAGATGGCCTAAAATATCTCTGAACTTGAAGTGATCTGGAAGAAAAAGTGGGTGAAAATTAATAGATCAAGAATAGATAGACATTTAGTGCTACAAAGAACTTTTGCAACTTTTTCTGCGATGTCTGCCAAAAAAAAAAGAAATGCCAATTAGTAGCTTACCCAAACTTTTGCACATCACAGTCATGATTTAATTTTTCCTATTTTTTAAATTCAGGAAATAAAAAGTAAGAAACGATGCATTAACAATGTTTGTTTGCTCCAGTGGTTGCATTTACCTCTTTTCACTTCAAAATGTTTACTGCTACTTAAATGAGCGACCTGAATACTTCTATCGTAAAAGAATAAACTCATAAAACTACAATTTTCAGAAAATTACAGAGGAGTTACCTCAATTGTAGCTACAACTGTAGACGGAAATTAATACTTAAACAATACCCACAGTTTGATACAACCCTTGCAGTGTAAAGCCATTCACCTCTCCTGTTCATGTCTACCCTTTTACTTTGAAGGCCACATCACCTAAGTTCCTGTATCATCGTGGCTGGCTGCTGCAGACTTGACTGGCTGCAAATCACCAACGGGGAGACGTCACGGTTCTAAATGATCGCCCTCTGCTCCTCGTCTCTCCATCAAGGCTGCAATCATAGACATCTACAGGGCATCTGAACCACAGTCGGCTATAATGGTGAGGACCAGTCTGTTGCCCTGAAATAAGAAGCAGAAACTGATTAATGCAGCGGGCATATAGATGACACCAGTTTGTGTTTAACAGGACTCAAGAGAAAAATGAAGTGGGGCAAAAGTGACAGTCGGTAGTGTGGTGGCTGAAACAGGATGCCGTGCCGGGTCAGTGCTGGCCGCTGTGGTTGTTTACACTTTGTTGACACGGCACCGGTTTGCGGGTTCATGTCACATTAGAGGGACTGATGGGGGGGGGGGGTTTACCACAGCTGAAAATATCAAGCCCTCACTGGTACATAGTATTTTGACATCCTAGCCTGGAAGTATTAACTTTACTCCTACACAAACATGTATTATGTAACACGTGTTTATTTGTTCCCCATCTTTCTGAACAAGTAGCCCGGGGAACTTCCAGCCCCAACACAACCTGTTTGCACTGTAACCTTTCTGTAAATAGTCCTGTGTCCATGACATGGCGAAAACAAAAAGGTAATCTAAAAACAGATATTTACTGTCATCTAGTGTCCAAAATATGTTACTACACGCTCTGAATGTGAGAGGACACAGTTTGAAAAAAGTGGGGGAAAGTAATTGAATCTAATGACAAAATGGGCCAGGACAAAATTAGATTCGGAAACCATTTTTTATTTTGTAAATGGGTTAGCACTCAGACTGTACACAACAGATATTTTCTGAGTTTGACCCAATAAAACCAAAAGGAGCGTCCAGAGACGAGGGAGCAAGGTGGTCTGGTAACAGCAGTGGAGTACAAGGTGGGTAAAGCTTGTTTTTTGTTAGTATTTGTTCGGTTCGCTTGACATTACATCTATTATCTAAAGCTTTTACAAAAAGTTTGATCCTCTGCCTCAGGTGGACCACCCTGCTTCCTGAACTTGTCAAGCAGCCGCTCTTGGTGAGTGATTTTTATACAAAAAAGACAAAAACTGAGAAAAAAATAGAAAAAATAAAGAAATTTAAAGACCACATTACAGAACACTTGAATAACACCTGGGGGAGAGAAATGAAAATAATGTGTATTTATGCCAGAACAAGCCCCAAAGGCTAACACTCATTAAATCAATATGAGAACTATTTGCCCCAAACAAACATGGGCACGTCTATCTGCCTTGTAGTTATACGTTATAAAGTACCGACTGAATTCATGCCAAGGCTCAAAACACCTCCCTTCACTATAGCTGGCAATATATAGTGCTGTGACCAGAGACGGACAGTTTTATACACTACACGTGTTATAATGACCACATTAGTCCATTTATCGTACTTTTATTCTAATAATACAATATATTAAATAAAAAGAAAAGGCTAAATCTCTCACGACAAAGCTATGCAGATTATCATAGAAACTGATGACAAGACAATCTACTGACACACAGGCACAGTGCACAAGCTTGCAGGCAGGAATGGAAAAGAAATCTTTGTAGTTTTTAAATAGTACAAAAATGCTTTTGAGGGTTTTTATTTATTTTTTGCTTCAAAAGCACAACTCAAAGCACGAAGCCAGACCATTGATCTGCTTTAATGTGAGGAAGAAGTGATAGCTATCGTAGTTGTTGCCCCCCAAACAAATGTGTGGCGTATATTTAGCTCAAGATCATAAGACATTTGATCACTTGATTCACGGTTCTTCCACCCTTGGCTGAGAATCAGCAGTTCTGCATTTTTTGTCTTTCTGTGAATGTTTGTGTTCAATGAGTTGCCTTTTTTAATCAAACACATTTTATTAATGAATATTTTTAACTATCACTGTTGTACAGCAGTGACAGTCTGAATAAATCTGATCATAAAATGGGCCAAATCTGATCTGATGAAGCACACAGTCGATGTGTTGTGGGATTCTCTGTGAGTCTCTTTCCCCCTGCAGCGTGCTGTGGGTTAATCCTGTATTTTTAAAACCATAGCAAATATGGTTTTAATCCAAACATTGAACTCGGGCCTATGTTTAATCAATGCCAGTAAATCTGTGAGAGATGGAATATCCCTGTAACAGACAAAGTGAAACAATAAACCTTGTAAACAAAACTGTACAACCACTTGCAGGTCAGACATGCAGAACAAGCTATTTAATGAGACTAGTCTACAAATTAAGAGTCAACCAAAAATAAATGCAAACAGTTTTACATTTGAGCAGTAGAACATGAAAATAACAAAAATAATTTCTATATATAGTCAGTTTTTTTTTTTTTACATTTCTCATAGTAATCCAATACCTGTGTGCAATCGCAATTTAAACTGTTAGCACAATAGAAAGTAGAGTCTAATTTCATATATTTACCAAGCAACCATTAGAATAAGAGATTTTCTAAATCATCCTGACTGGTTTAAATAAAATAAGAATAAAAAAATAAAACAAATCTCTTATGACCTAAAGATAAACTCCTTGGGTGTAGTAAACATTTCATGAATGAAAGCAGAAATGAAAGCACAGTCAAAGTGCGCTCTAACCAATCGACACGTGTGTTTTGAATATGTAGTTAAGGGCACTGGAAATCAAAACTCCTGCAGTGTTTCTTGCTTGTTGCTGCTGCAAAATGTTTTGGACTGGGCCGGGGTTTCCCTGGCCCATCATGCTTTGCTCTCGGTGCTTTTTGTCTGTATGACACTGTTGTGTTCTGCAGCGATCTCCGTCAGGGCGTTTGATAATTCGGCCTCCTCCAGTTTGACTTTCTCATCAGAAAAAATCTTCCTGCAGTGGAAAAAGGAGAATTTCAAAATTACAAATCTGATCATCTTTGGCAAGAACACAAAGAATTCTCAGCAAACAAACACTTTAGTTAAACACAAGTTTAACCATTTATTCTCAATGACATCTTCACCCAATATGTAAGAAGACATTATGTATTCAGACGTCTTCTTACATATTTCTTCACCACCTTGATAACAGACAGATAAAATTAAACAGATAATGACATACCCATATAATTCATTCCTAAACTGTGTAGCAAATACTTTGTATTGATCAGTTTAGTTCTACCTCAAAGAGACTGTGATAGGACAATCAATGAGCCCTGGGCTTGTGGTTGTGATATCCATGTTCGTGTTAAAGCAGTGAGGCACAGTTTCTACATCCTGCCCGCAGCGCCTCTCCTCTCTTTTGCAGCTCAGAGCAGGAAAACACCACGGCTAGCCTCTGTTCTCTGTAGTAGAGCTGCAGAGTTGCTGAGGATTTAGGCAACACTCAGAGGCAGAGAGTTACTGCCTGAGACGAAATGTTTTGTCATTAAAATAAGGCCCATTTCAGACATGGAATATGAGACATTGCTGGATTCATCTGTCTGTTATAGTGATGGCTTACATATGTACTGTAGGTGTTACAGCTTTATTCAGATTTGACAGGACTGTTATGGAACGAGCCACAATGCTTGTGCGAAATTTGGCATGTGGCGCACGAGAGGGAGTGGTGGAACTGCTTAG